AAAACCTTGTATATGCAAGTATTCTGAAATAGTAGCATAGTGAAAAGTACGTGCAGCATACATACTGAAAAACTGCAAAGCCTGTTGTATGAACTTTGATCATTTTTACGGGACACCAGATTGTTTAGGATTTGCACTGATTTTTTTCAGTTAGTGCAGTAGCTCTACGTCTTAATACAAGGTTTTTAGACACACACACACACACACACACACACACACACACACACACTTTGTGCCCCCTCCTCCCACACATACCAGTATGTAATAAAATAAAAAAGCCAGACAAGATTTCTGACTTACAACCTCTTAAAGTAGCACAGATGGTAATGAATTGAGATTGGTTGACTAGGAGTTGATAATATAACTAACATTTTTATTAGGGCTGTGCGAAGCTTTGGTAGCCAATTCAATCTGGAGGAGATTTGGCCCAATTCGGCGGCCAAATCTCCGAATCTGATTTGGAGATTTGGCCCAATTCGGCAGCTGATTCTCCAAATTAAAATGGAATTGAGAGACCCGTTAATCTCTCTGAATCAAATCGGAAGCCTCTGAATCGATTCAGAGAGATCCAGCCATAGACTGCACAGGCAGGCACTAGGCAGTGCCAGTGGGAGCAGCTGGATGAGCCCTGGCAGCTCCGGGAGAAGCTGTGGCTTGTGGGGGCTGCTCCCCCAACTGGGATGAGGCAGCCCTGGGAGAAGCCACGGGGTCTGCAGGGAATGATCAAGGAGCTGGGGGATTGAACTTGGGAATCAAACTGGGAGCTGGGGAATTGAACCAGGAGCTGAGGGAACAAATAGGGCCCCAGCTCCCAAGCATTCCCCCCAGCTCCCTTGGCTCCTCTGAAGGCTGCCAGCACTGCCTGCATCGCCCCGGCAGGGGAGGGCAGCCGAGGGAGCAGCTGGACAAGCTGCAGCTTGAGCCAGCAGCCCTGGGAGAAGCCATGGGGGGTGGGGGCAATGACCGGGGAGCTGGGAGATTGAACCAGGATCTGGGGGGAAGCCCCTGTTCATTACCCCAGCTCCCAATCATTCCTCCCAGCTCCTGATTCAATCCCCCCAGCTCCCACAGCTTTTCCCAGGGCTGCCAGCTCTACCTGCCTCACCCCAGCAGGGGGTGCAGCTGGGGGAGCAGCCAGATGAGCCGCAGTTTCTCCTAGGGCTGCTGGCTCAAGCCGGGGCTCATCTGGTTGCTCCCCCAGCTGCTCCAGCCGAATAAGTCTATGGCCAAATAAGATTTGGCACTGAATTTCTTCGGATTCGGCTGAATCGAATCGGGACAATGATTCGAATCACTGACTTGAATCACTGTCCCTCCAAATTGCCAAATCCAAAGCGAATACTTTCTGCTTCACACAAGCCTAATTCTTACCATATAAGTAACAACCTACTCTTTAAATAGACTTCACAAACTTTGACCACCATTTCAGTGAACGTACTCAATGAGTAAAATACTGCTCAAGGGGAGCAAGAATCTCAGAATCTACCCCCATATCTAAGAAGAATGGATAAAGCAAAACAAACACGCACAAACTTTTTAGCCTTATCTTCCCTGTGAAACCTGTAGACTGTTGGTTTTTTTCAGCAAATAAACTGCTAAAATTACCAACCAGTCATGATAGGCAAATTTGAAAAACAGAATGCCATTTAAAAATGTTATTCAGACACTATTTTTACATTAGAGGGATGAATCAAACGTTAAATATTTTAAACACTCCTTGTTTTCTACAGAAAGAATGAGAAACCTGTGGCAACAAGTTCTCTCTTACTACTACGGTTTTGCTACACATACATAATTGAACATGCGATTACCATAATAATTAGTATTGTACTGAGAAAACGTTTTATAAAAATTGGTTTCTAGTACTGAAAGCAAAGGACAACATCGATATATTTCATTGTTAACGTATTAGTATTTTCTAACAGTAACAGTACACGATAAATAGTTCTGTCTCTTAGACAATTCTAAATATTGTGCTGAAAGATAACAATGTTATTATTCAATTAAATATAGCTCAAAAAGTCACTAGAATGTTTACCACTGTGGAGCTTCTTTATTTTTTTTCAACTTGTCTCAGGGTTTCCAAAAGTAAATGTATTAAATACAATACGCTTTTTTTGTCCAAAATAGCTCATTCATAAGAATGCAAGTGTATCTGTCACACAGCAGAGTTCCTCCAGCTCAACTTTTACAAGAGTGCTGTGTTTGGGGACCAATAAATTGCATCAATATGTTCTTAAATCTCATCTTTCTTGAAGTAGACTTCAGCTACGGGGCCTTTTTTGGCCTCTCAGCAGCGTTCCCTCTAAGCTGTGCGGCATGCACAGGTGCATTCACGCCGCACTGCCAGGCGCACCTGTGCAGCCACACAGCTTAGAGGGAACACTGCCTCTCACGCATACTACCCGAGTATGGGGCTCTCCTTCTTTTACCCTTCCCTGATATGGGACCTCCTTATTCCCCTAGAACTGTCCTACGCCCCCAGAACCAGGAGTCTAAGCACAGTTTCATAAAGGTTCAACTTCGTAGCTACTTTGGATTTCTACTTCACCTCTTCAGGGACAAGTGAAAAGCTGAACCAGATTTTTTTTAATGGCTCCTAGAACTAAACCTCAGCTACAAAGTGGAGCGCTATCACCCACCCTCCTGATCCAGCAAGAAACGTCTGATGGGTCGCGAGAGTCAGCCTAACTCATGATGCTTCTGTGAAGCGCCGAGTTAGACCAGAGAGCAGTACATTTATCAGCACCCAAAATTTCTCCTCTTTCCTCTGCAGCCAGTTTTCCTCTTTCTCTCCAATGGGTTTCATATTTTAAAAAACACCCCACTTCTGCAAAAGCATACTCTTTTGTTCTTCTCTCCTGCCTCATTCTGTGGGAACACGAGGCTTCCTGTCTCAGCAAGAATGACCCTCTCTCAACCTTCTGTTCATTTTGGGAGATGATCACATTCACTGATCAAGTGATCCATTACTAAGTTCTCCTCCCTCCATCCCAGAGTTCAGACTTCCAACGCCATTTTTCTCAGGGTGATAGCCATCTCATTATCCAATGGTACCCCAAGTGAAGGAAAAAATTATCAAAGTTTAACAATCCTCATTTTTAGTTAAGGGCCAGGTTCAAGAATTTCTCAGTATTCCCTTGGTTTCTCTCTCCATAAATCGCAAAAGAGTGCAGAGAAGTCAAACACCTTCAAGTGGAATTTGCAATCTGAGATGCAAGCTGTGGTATCAAACATGTTTTATATTGTAGATATAAAAATATACACATTTGTCTATAAATATATATAGACAAATGCCCTAAACTATCATATCGCCCATCAAATTATATTACTGGGGATCTAAACACCTTCAAGTCAGTTCATGCAATAACACCCCATTGTGCTAGACCAGTGGTTCTCAACCTTTTTAGACTCAAGGCACTACTCGGAAAATTCCAGCTTAGTTTTTGGTTGGTTTTGTTTTTTTTGTTTGTTTGTTTTTTTGTTTTGTTTTTACACTTTTTTATTTTACTATAGAAAACTAGACCGTTTTTTCTGTTGAAAAGAACTCAAAGGACCACAATTATGGATTTCTAGCTGAAATCTTTGGCTAGGTTCAGATATTCAAAAAGCCCAAGGTAGAATTGATCTAAGTTATATAGTTTTCTGTAAGAGATGTGGTTTACATCAGTAACAATAGAATACATATTCACCTGGGAGGGGGTGGCGGGAAATCTGCAAATCTTAGACCAGATTGTGCCATTTTTAAACCAGTCTGCACATGCTGAACTTCTGTTCGGTTATGGGTATAGACTGGTTTTATGTTATGGGTATAGACTAGTTTTCGATTACTTATACCAAAAAAGGGTAATGTCTGTACCTGGCCTTTGGGTTTATCTTGTGACTCATGTCTGTACAGCTAATGGTGCTAACATTGTGGGGCACCCCATGCCAGCCATGAAAGGAGCCCAAGGCACCTCAAGATCCCATGGCACCTTGGTTGAGAATTACTGTCCTAGACAAATGCTCAGTCCTTCCTTTTGTCTTGTAGACGAGAGAAAGGGAACAGGTGGTTTTCGGCTACCTTTCTGCCCCCTCAATTCTTAGTGATGCCAACAAAACATATTATAATTAGACAAGTCTGTTCTAAATTGCACTAGCATATAACTGGCATATCTTCTACAGGTGGCACTGTCACCTTTGCCACAGCACTCTGATGGCAGCTGATTTTGCAAATGTTTATAACTCAGGCCCTTGTTCAGGAAAGCATATAGACTTTTATCCTCTACAAAATCTATCCTTTACCTAATCAGACTTATGAGACTTAAAGTTTTTAAGCCAGTTACTGTGGTTTCAATGAAGTACCTTGTCCCCTTTCCTCAGAGCCCTTTTCTTTACTATTACAGGTGGAGGTTTCATCTGCGGGATGCTTCTTCCACAATACCCACAAGATGTCGCCATTGCTAAAAAAACTTCCACACAAGATACTTCATGTTCTTGAAGTGAGACCTCAACGGTCCCTTTGCCATTGTAATTTCTTCAAGAGATTTACGGGGGTGCTAACTTTTACTATAGTTCTATTGATCAACGAACCAAAGGAATTTAATCCTTCAAACACTCTCCTAGGTATATTATCTCTAACAGCTAAATAAAGCCAGGGATGACAATTAGTACTTTCTTTCTGTCACTTAAGTAACAAGCAATAATGACCTGTGATGCCCAGCGTGATGAACTTGTTAAGTCATATGAAGCAAATCTAAATAGTTTGTTTGAGAGGAGAATGGCAATTTAAACAAGCAAGAAGCTAATCTAGCTAAACTGGTAAGAGAAGTTTAGATTAGCAGTTAAATTCTGTTTGGAACTTAAATAACAGAATTAAAATTTTTAAGAAGTAATTTGTTAGCAGATAGATACTATGGCCTAGGTCCTCAAGAGTACAAAATCACCCAATTATTTAGACATTGTTGAAAACTCTACCCAAGGACTATTTTTGGATACTTCATCCAAAAAACTTCTGTAAATCAGCAAGAATCTAGAAAAAGAAAGAAAAAAATAATGAAAAAGAAGAGACGTAAGAGAAAGTGATTTGTAATGACTGGAGAAAAGGAAGCAAAGAAAATAACTACTTAACATAATAGTTAACTACAGCAAAAATCCTGGAGAGGTAATAACATAAAACCAAGTAGTAAATGTTTACTCTGTGGGATAACAAGTGTGTCAAAAAGCAATAAACTGAAATTAAGAAAGGAAATAGCAGAGGTTTCAAAAGCATTAAAAATATTAACAGAAAGAGAACTTCAGGCTCTGGAGGGAGCTGAGAAACTGGTCTTGAACAGTATTCAATCTGCTCAGAATTCTTGCAGGACTATTATCAGTAACTGAACCTACATAAAAATACCAAGAGGAGATTGTTGCTCCACATAAAATACCTAACATCATTTAGAAACATTTTTTAAATTAAGCATTAACTTTATAAATATGTAAATTTGGAGAGTAGGTACGAAGAGATAAATTAAGACTCTTCTAGTATACTGACTTCTTTTTTTAAAAACAAACACTTACCTTGCCAGCTATCGTTGCATACACACAGCTTCTCGCCTGTCAGATCACAGTAGCCATGATCTGGGCTGCCACAGTTAGCTTTACAATAGGGAATATCACAGGCTTCACCTTTCCAATACTTGTCACATTCACAATATACCCGGCTTGGAATGGAGACACTCGTTGTACATTTCCCGTGCCCTGAGCAATTATTAGGACAGGAATTGATCCTGTAAAAAAGAAAAATGTATAAAAATAAAGGAGAAAAGAAAAAGTACAGAGATGAAGAAAGCCTGTGTATATTTATATATAAAACATTATAATAAAACTGTATTTGCTGTACACAGTACTTTTTAAAATCTACATATTTCCAGCAAATCTAAAGTTAATTCTTTTTCGATATAGATTAAACAGTTCTGAATAAACTAAATTTATGTCTCTACCTACAATTCAGGAATCAGGAACAGAAACAGATGCTGCTCTAAGTATCCACCTAGTGAATTCAACCTTGTTGTGTAGGACCTTCTGTCTCTGTAATTTGCTGAAATGCCTTCTATAATTTGCTGGATCTGCCCTGGATTTATTCTGTTAACAGTATGCAGTACTGCTATCATATCTTACAGGCCAGGATTTTTTGAAAGGTTTTTAATTTTATTCTTTTTAATTTTCTCATCATCCCACTACTGGCATGTTATTGGATGAATAGTGATCTGTAGAGTAAAATACAATGTAAAAACATAATGGAAAGCCGCCATTATAAAACATTTAACACTGAACACCTCTGGCCCGAGTCATAAAATTGAAAGCATAATAACGTAACTCTCCATACCCTGCCTGCCTTCCCCAAAATCAGGAGTTTTAAAAAAGTGATGTAAATCTTAGGAAAACAATTTGAGAATGATAGCATGGACGGTGCAGAAAAGGAAGAAGGATTGCAGGAGCAGGAGCTCAGTGTCTTGCTGCTATATAGACTATGAAAACAGCAATTTCTGTCCAGTGTATATTTCCAAGACCAACTTTGTAGCAAAATATCAACTTGACTTCATGATATCCTTTCACTCAGTGTCAGCAACACTATTTTTCTGTTCTCCCGCTGGAGAAAAATTCTCTTTACAAGGCATAGGCAAGCATATAGTATGAAGCAAGCTATCTCCACCCCTGGTGTCAAAGATTTAATAAGGCAATGCCAGCTAAAATAGAGCCGTTAGTTTCTATAAATAATTTTGTGTGTCTGAACACAGAAACACAACAAAGGGCAAAGGCACGTTATATGTGAAGGTGGGCAGTGGGAAGACAATTCTCTCCTGACTCCTCAAACACAGCTTACAGAATGAGCAACAGGGGAAAACAGACTAATTCCATCCCTACGCAGCAGCCATAGAAGATCTCTCTGAAAAACAGAAAAAATAGTTGCTGAGCACAAAACCAATCTTTGAAAATTCTTCCCCATGTCAGAAACAGGAGGAAAAAATATACTAATGTTAATTATTTCTATTCTAACCATAAAACAGAGGTAAGAGCTGGTAAATCTTTCAGTTATGATTCTTTCAGTATAGCATTACAATTATATGCGCTAATTTTCTTGAATTATTTAAAAAAAACAAAACAAAACCAAAAAAAAAAAAAACACACACACACACACACACAGGGGAAACAGTTGCTAAGAATGCTACATCATATTGCAATTAGCTCCCAAAACGAGTAGAAGGGTTCATTGACAGCTTTCAGAACAACTGAGGAAAATATATCAATTGAAGCAATAATTGCTGTATGTTTTTCTATCACCTGAAAGGATGGAGTGCATTATTTTGCGTGACAGAACTCAAACAAATGTGCCAAAAAAAAGAAGAAGAAAATCTTTCAAGATTACATTCTGTTACATTCTTCCAGCTTGGCGCACGTGACCACCAGGTAATTAGAAGGGGATTCCCACATGCTTGCCAGCTAGGATCTTAATATCATAGAAAAGTAGGACTGAAGGGGACCTCACAAAGTCATCTAGTCCAGCCCTGTGATCAAGGCAGGACCTTCCCAAGTAAACCATCCCAGACAACTATCTGTCCAACTTGCTTTTGAACATTTCCAGGGATGGAGATTCCACAATTTCTCTAAGTAACTTGTTCCAATGCTTGACCACCACCTTAAAATCAGGAAGTGCCTCCTAATTTCCAGTTTAAATTTCCTGTTGCAGCTTGAGGCCACTCCTCCTAGTCTTGTCCCCTATGGCCACAGAAAAAGCCCAGCTCCATCTTGTCTATAAATTGCCCTTCAGGTATTTGAAGACTATTCATCAAAACCCTCATCAATCATGTCTTCTCCAGGCTGCATAACTAGTTCAGCAGTTCTCAATCTGTGGTACACATATCACCAGTGGTCTGCAGACAACCTGTCAGTGGTACATGTTAACAGATTTATTATAATTACTTTATATGACAAGAATTTGCTGGTGGTACTTAAGGCTGTATCATTTTAAATTGGTGGTGTGCAATCTGTCAAGAGTTTGGGAACACTGCTCTAGTTCCTTCAGCCTTTCCTAATAAGTCTTGCTCTCCAGGCCACTGATCATTTTTATTGCCCGGTGCTGGATTCTTTCCAAACTGTCCACATCCTTCTTCAAGTATGAAGACAAAACTGGACACAGTACTCCAAGTGAGGCCTTAAAATGTCAAGCAGAATGAAAGAATCATTTCCCATGATTTGAAAGTGACCCTACCATAAATATAACCCAAGATGCTGTTGGCTCTTTTGCAACAAGAGCACACTCTTGCTCATATTCAGTTTAGGGTCCACTGTAATCCCCAGGTCCTTCTCTGCACTACTGCGGTCTGGCCAGTCATTTCTCAGTCTGTGTTTGTGCATGAGTTTATTCCAGCCCAACTGCAGGATTTTGCACTTTTTCTTGTTGAGTCTGTTTTGATCAACTGCAGACCATATTTCTCGTCTATACAAGACATTCAACAGCCTAGCCCTGCCCTCCATAGTGACTGCAGGACCAAGCAATTTGATGTCATGCACAAATTTGCTAAGTGTATGTTGAACCCCATCATTCAAATTGTTAAAGAAAACGTTGAACAGTACCTGAGGTCAGGCTGACAGGTCTGTAATTCCTGTGCCCCAGCCAGCTGGGGAGCAGCACACGGACACGAGAGAGCAGGCAGCCTCCACACACTGCGGAGCACCCTGAGCCCCAGCCAGCCGCTCCTGGGCTGGTTGGGGAACAGTGTGCTGAGGAGAGAAGGCAGCCCTAAGCTGGCTGCTTCCCTGTCTCCGCATGCCTCAGCATGGGGGCTCCACTGCAGAGTCTCTGTGCAGAAGCACACCCCAGGGAGCAGCCAGCCCAGGGTTCTCAGCTCCCCTCTCGAGGCATGCTGCACCCTCAGCCAGCCAGGGAGCAGCTGGCTGGGGTGCAGGGTGCCTCAGCATGGGGGCTTCGTAGCACATGGAGAAAGGGTGTGGTCTAGGAGAATTCCCATTTGGGGGGCAGGACCTCATTGCTTCAGTTCCCTCCCATAACCTAGTCCTCAGGCAGGGAACAAGGAATGACCCAGGGAGCCTTTCCCCATTGCTCCACTCCCATCCCGCAGACCTAAGGAAGACCTGAGGGATGGTACTGTGATACCCAAAAGTGTGTCTACATCTGTCCCAACCATGCAGGCCGTGCAATAAAAGATATCAACCACAAGAATTCTTTGCCCTTACATATTTCCTGGACCATCACAGCAACAACATAACTTCAACACATTAAAAATCAGCACATTCAAATCAATAAATGAAAATACTTTTTCAAACAATATATGGGGAGCTTATAGTCAAAGGAAGTAGCCAAGACCAAGAACTAACCAAGATTGGACACTTATGCATAACAAGAATATCCAGTGATATTATAATGTTTTAGAAGGGCATTAAACCTACTGTAGCAGGGCCTAAGCTAATCTCCAACTGTTAGAGGTAACAATGAGGCCAAATGTGATAGGCAAATTAATTCATGCCTGCTTAGAGAAAATCCTCGGGAGGTGAACTAACTTCAGATCAACCCAAGTTAACCCAGCCTAGTAAACATCTGTACGCATTCGCAAGACCAGCCACTCCCTCCAACCCCAGGGCTGTGCTGTTCCTACCCCCAATCTTCCTCCCCGCAGACCCACCAGCCCTGAAGTTACTTACTTCAAGCTGCCTGTGCCAATCCCAGCAGTGGAGAACAGCTGCTTGTGCCAGTCCTACTTCATGCAGCTAAACCTAGGTAAGCCACCTAAACCCAAACCAAGCCCTGACTACAATAATAACCTGACTACAAATCAAAATAATGATCAAATCAACAATAAAACCTTTCAAATGGTATTTTTAAAAGAAAAGAAAATCCTGATATGAAAGAAGCAAAAGAAAACGAAGTTTGTACTCAAACTGGAACGGCGTTTGTTTTTTTTTTTTGAATAGGGCTGAAATACCAGATGGTTTCATACTTTTCTCTGAAACAATATTCCATCTGATGCTATCACCAATAGAGTGTGTGTGTATTTTAGTTGAAAGAGGTGCCTTTTAATTACAATTTGAATATTAGTAACCTCAAATAAGAAATTAATTCCTGTGACACTGCAGAAACTAATAGAGTTATTCAAGAGAATGGACATTGCGATTTTCATTCTTCTAGACAGCTGTCCTATAAGGCAACTAAATAAAATGAGTCCTAGGACCAGTAGAAATTCTCCAATGTTGTTTTTCTTTTTAATCTAACTCAAAATTTGTCACTAAAGATAATTTATTTTATTTTTCTGGGGCACTAACGAATGGAAGAATTCTTGAACGCCTTTATTAGAACAGGCAGACAAGGTTCCTTGGGTGAATTTGATATCTTTTATTAGACCAACCCAAAAAGTTGGAGAAAAGTTATTAAGCAAGCAAGCTTTTGGGTTCAAAAACCCTTCGTCAGGCTAAGGAAGTTTCATCAGTTGGTGTGTGTTTATTAGAACAGGAATTTCTATTATAGAAAATGGAAAATCAACACTGGTTGTTAGCAGAGCACTAAATAATTCTGGATCAGATCAGTTAGCCAAATTCAGCTGGATGGTGTGGTAAATAGGGCTTACCTCAAACATTTATTTTAATACAACTAATACTAAAGACCTATAATACCAAAGCCACAACTTCAAAAAATACAGCGGATAACCAAATGAACATGAGCTGAATGAGGGCTGAGAACGTAGCAAGAGTCAAGAACGAACTGGACATTTGCAAGGATATTCAAAGTTATCAGAATTACTTAATGTAAAAATCTGAAAAGGATAGTACTTCACAGTCTTAGCCAGCTTCTACAGAACTGGATGAGACCTGACATGGGAGACCAATTATCCCATACCTACTAGCTACAAGGTTCTTATACTTCCTCTGAAGCTAGCTATATACTGGATACTTTTCTAGACAGACCTCAAGTTTGTTCTATTTCCTAAGTTCTTTTGAGGTCCCTATGAAATAGCATAGCTAAAAGCATTGCAATTCATGGATATACGAACAAGGAAACACGAAGAGAGTTTGAAAGTGCTACTACAAATGCAAGTGTCATTGTTGAAACCTTTACTGAAATACTGTGTAGAGTTTAGCATTCATACTTCAAAAAAGATACTGAAAAAGAGCAAAACATTAAAAAAGTTACAGCAATGAGTATAAAATAGTCTAATCTAAAGTGACAAAATCTCACTCTATTTAAATTTTTCCAAAAGAATGTAAGTGCCAAATTGTGAGTCCTAAACTCACATTATCTGTCTCATTGGTTTGAGTAAGACCATACATATGATCAAGTACTATTCAATGTGGACAAAGGTGAGAATCTCCCCTTAAAGTGTCCCCACTAACAAGGGTATAGGAGATTACACACAGAAATGTGTTTCAGCTTGTTCCACATTTCTAAAAATCTCTCTCTAGCTCTTACTCCTTTTTTGACTTCCTAGTTTGAAAGCCTATTAGGATGCATACTTTATTGACATCAGGCAGAAGACAGGGCAGAGATGCACCTGACAGACTAAATCAGAGATGCAAAAGCTTTCATGAGCCAAAACTTTCTTTATCACTTTGGCTCACAAAAGCTTTTGCATCTCTGACCTGAGTCTGTCAGGTGCATCTCTGCCCTGCCTTTTGCACAACTTCAGATGAACACAGCTAACTATCTCTGTGTTGACATCAGTGATACTATTACCCAACAAAAAGAAAAATATATTCTGCAGCTATGAGCTCCCAAAGGAAATTACAGCCCAATTATACTTAATAATGTAATTAATTTTAAAAAATACTTACGAGTAAAAAATGTTAAAACCAGTTAGGTTATAAGCAGCATCGCTAAAAAAATGTAGTAATGCATATCCAGATATGGTAACTACTTCAGGAACAGTTTCATTTCCACGTACTTCTGGGACAATTAGACCACTGGAAAACAGATTGTATAAAGAAGTCAGGCATTCAAATAATAACATACCCAAAATACTTTGAAAATCTTATGAAAAGTTTCTTAGAATAACACTGAATGAAGCAAGGTTCAAGCCTGCCAACATTTCTGTATCTTGAGGGATGGGATTTCTCAGATTTTAAGTAACACTAAAAAGTTACCCAGAAATTGATTATACATGTGCATGAGCTGTCAATAGACTGCTACGAGCCAAGTATTAATGCACACAGATGGAAAATCTACCCCTGAGCTTCAAACAATCGAGCAGTCAACTCATTTACTCTCAGTGGGAGCAGAATACTTAAATGACATTTGTCGCTTTGGAAATTTTCCCCATTTCTTCTAAAATAATTAGCTATACCTAGAGAAAATGATTTTAAACTAAACTTCATGGAAAAATTAAAGTTTCTCGAGAAAAAGAAACTATGCTTTAAAAAACATTCAAAAGGATTTTTTCCATTAAACAGACATTAGAGACAGGCAAATCAATACATAACTGAACTGAAGTAGAGAAAAAGCATCCTACACATAAATCATGTGGGTAACCACATGGCAAATGTAAAATAAATTAAAACTTTAGGAAAACCCCAAAGGAAATTTTAAATATATAATGTATAACATAAAATAAAAATAATAATAAAACATACCCACAAATTAGAAAAACTCTAGGAACTGCTTAATATTAAAGACTATAAATAATAGACCTTTGAACCAGAACTAGAAAATATACTGAGGGAAGTGATTAAAAAGAATGAACAAACAGAAAAATACAGAAAAATACCTGTAAAATCTTTATTCACCCTCTCTCACCTCGCCTGTCTATAGCATACCCATCTCTCCTACCCTTTCAAGGTAAACTAGAAGTCGTGCTTATGAAAGGCAACCAACAATGTGTATAGAAGGAAAACTACCCGTCAATGGGTAATTATCGGGGGAACTATAAAAAAGGTACCAGGGAGCCAAGATAATAGAAGGGGCTAGACAGCAGCCTAAAAGTGTTTGGTAAGAGGTTAAAGAATGCTCCTGTTCCAAACAGCCTGTGATCTTAAACTGTTAATCTTAGATAACCTTGGGAATATAACCTATCTCCTTAGAAGTTAATGCTGAACTACCGTGAATTCATGGGATTGGGATTTCAAGCCCCCGGGTCTAACCACAGGATAAGACATATTTTAGTATCTGCCCTGTAAATCTAATGTGACAACCAGTGCATGAAAACAGCTCTAAACCACCAAATAAATTCTGTGGCCAGTCATGAAGAACAAAAAATACAATCATAAGTGAAATTGTAATTCTTTTTGTAAAGTTTCACTTAGAGTTTATAGAAAGATAGGAACTAGCCAATAAAGATCATTTGAACATGTACCCACATTTTTTTTAAATGAGAAATTTAACAAAAGTTACCTTAAAGTCCTGTTTTCCATCTCTCCCTTAGTGTAAACTTTAAAGCTGTGGAAATCTATTTTAGTTAACTTCTCTTGAAAGTTGAAAACCAAATAACTCAGGCCACACTATTACTTGTTTATCGTATTTGCTCATTACTTGACAGCTACAGTATGAAGCAACACAATGTCACAAGGCTAAAAGAGTGATTTACATACAAACATTTTACTTTTCTTTCTTTTTTAAACATAAGTAGGGCACAGATGTCAAGTAAGAAAATTTGTTTTCATATTGCTGATGGTATTGCTATATTTATTTACTTATATGATAAGATGCTTATTTTTACATTTCTGACTAAATGAATGTATGATCTTTGTTTCTTTGACATTTACCCCTGGGTGTCTTGGAGTAAGTAGGATTGAGGTTTTGTTTCTGCATGTGCACTCTACTAAAAAACCAAACAAACTCCCTTTGTACTGAGAAGTATTTACTTGATACCAGCTTCGAAAAAAAAGTCAGACATTTAATTCAACTGTGGGCAAAACAAATCAGAACAGTGTCACGCAGGACCATATTCCTGTTCATTTCAGATGCATTAAATACGCTAAATACAATATTTCAATAAACTTCATTTCAATCTTAGTACTCTCTTATTATACTATTTTATTTTAGAGAGATGTAACCTATGTCAGAAAGTTGTAATGTGGTCACAGCCCCTACAGACTTGGTGAACTTGTAGAGAGTTCAGCCAGAAGTCACATTTCTATGCTGCACCTGAACAACATTACAGGATTTATTGATCTCCTTTCTCCAGTGATCTAAGGAATTATGACTGCAAGACTGCAAAGAACGCCTAGCAGTTGCAGGATCAGATCCATAAGCAGAGCAAATATATTTGTGTACATTACAACAGCATGATTAATATATTTCTTTTCTCAATAAGTACAATCTGGCTTAAATGCCAGATCATTGTTCTAGGTATCTAAACTCCTATGGACTTTCTTTGTTATATGAGGATTCTCTTTTAATTATTTTCAACACATTTCTAGAGAATACTAGAGAAAAAGCTTTCAATAGTACTGAAACATTGATGTACGTCAGAAACTTTTCAGCCCATGATCTTTTGCTTTGCCTTGCAAGTTACCTAGGCTAAGTGCAGACAGTCAAAAAGCCTGAAACTGAATTGATTCAACCTTCACAGCTTACTCTAAACTTCACAGCCCGAACTGATAAGCAAGCGAACGGACGTTCACTTCCGATTCCAGAAATGCAGCCTGCATTTCTTCTCTCCTGGGCCTGCAGTAGCCCAGAAGAGAAGCCGGGGGTGTTTCTAGAGTACGCCTCTCTGCTTTGCAGATCCTCTCACCCTGCCAGGGAAAGCTTGCAGGGGAGGTGCAAAGTGCCCTGGGATGCTGAGGGACTGTGAGTTAACTAGAATCTGGATGGGATCTGGGACAGAAGTTCAATAAACCAATTTCACCTAAATCAGTTAAGCCTGATACTATATCCATCCAGGTTTATCTTAAACGAGTTTCAGCCATTTTGAAAGTGGTTTATGTGCACTGAACTTCTGTTGTGCTACAGATTTAAACTGGTTTCTTATCACTTGTACCAGTTTATGTGCAACTTCTGGCCCTAGCCCTAGAGAAGACTGCACACTACAATTATCAGCAGTCTATAAACATGAAACAAGTAACTAGCTAAGACCTGATCCAGTTGCATAATAATTCCTGTGACCTGAGATAAAATTAGAGCAATCAAGATCATCTGTGATCCCTACAATTATCAAGTCTTTCACCTTCGATTCTTTTCACCTTCAATAAGGAGAAAACTATTAGTATTACCTAATGATGCTTAATCATTTGACATCATGTTTTCCATTCTAATGGACAAAAAGAAGATCTTATGCAGTTGGTAACTCTGGTTAACTTCAAAAGGAGAGGCCCTCAGTAAGTAACTTCAAGGTGCCAACCTGTAAATAGCTTAATGACTATTCTTAAGTAGTGCAATGTCTCTGTTCTATAGAAAGACTCTTGCATTAGTATAGCTAGCACTGCTATCAGCTTTGCTGCTCCACTAAAAAGTCAGTATTTAGGACGAGCCCAATAAAGGACTTAATACTATTACCCTTGAGCCAAACGCAAAATGATTATGTTGCATTAGTACCAGCAATATGTCTATCTTTTATTATAAACAAAGGAAAGAAAACTACCAGTAGCACAATCAAACCACTAGAGCTATTTATTTTCCTCAAATTAAAAAATCCTGTCTTACTAGTAACAATAAAGAACTATTAATTAAAAATACTTACCTAAATACTGCTATTAAAGGTGCATATATTGAATCACCATCATAAACATACATATGGTCCCAACTACATTCTGTGGCAAAATGATTAAATCTTAATCTAAGTATTGCATTAGGACTGAAAGAGAAGAGAAAATATTATTTAGCAAAAGCATGAACTCAAACTTATAACATCAAAAGTAGCCATAACATTAGCTATATTAGAACATTAAATTCTAACATTCATATACATACACATAACAAACATAGATAGTACTTTGTATATATTTAAATTAAGCAATTATTTAATTTGTCATAAAGGATTTTAAGTAGGGGTGCAATGATAGAGATTTGGGGGCCTGATACTGATAGCTAAATTTTAAGGAGGCATATTGGCCGATACCAGTCCAATTTCTGATACGCAGCCCAGCAGCTTGAAGAGCACTGTCCAGCTGGTAAGACCGCTGTGGTGGAAGGAGAGGGGGAAGGGGCATGGAGGGGCACAAAATGAGGTCCTCGCGATGAGGGAGGGAGTGGGGCTGGGACAGGCACTGTTCAGCCAGTGCGGGGCAGGGCACAGGAGAGAGCCGCAGCTCATCCGGGGGGCAGGGGGGGAAGGCGGTTAAGAGGGGGAGCTCCCACTGCTGTGCACACCCCAGGAGGATATGGGAGGTGCCCCATATCTGTGCAGGGCAGGGCAGGCTGCCGCTAAGGGCTAGGGCTGTGCCAGGCTCTTCCTGGCAGGGGGCTGGGCCAGGGCTGCACTCGGGGCAGGTCCCAGGCCCACTCCCTCCCTCACCGCAGGGTCCTTGACCTACCCCTCCTCGTGCCCCTTCCCTCCCCTTCCACCACAGCAGATTTAACAGCTGGATGCAGCTCTCCAAGCTACCAGGCTGTGCTCCTTGCCACCTACAGCTGCATGCATGCATGAGGCATTTAATCAGTCACATTATTGGCCACATCAGGCAAAAAAAAAGCCAGTTTCCGATGCAGTCAGTTTTCTTTATATCAGTGCTGATCCAATATAGGACAAATATATCGCTGCACCTCTCATTTTAACCCATAATGCAAGGCTAATAATTACTAAATTAACAATGGGTATTACTATTATCTTCACAATAGTTTTGAAAGAGACCGTGTCAATTTTAAAACCCCAAATTTAAGCTTTGATTAAAAAAATTAAAGTTCTATATTGAAAAGAGTTCCAATTCATTATTTTACTAACTACAGCAAAAGTTCTGTTATCTGGCACTCATGGGAAATGCAGGGTGCCAGATAACCAAATATGCCGGTTACCCGAGAGGCCCGAACAGACGTCTTTGCCTGTTCAGGACACTGCCCCTCCTGCTGCATCTGGTGCGCCACCGCCCCTCCCGCCATGTCAGTGTGCTGAGGGACAGGGAGGGGAGGCCTGCGCAGGCTGCTCTGCCCCAGGCCATGGGGGCTCGGCAAAACCGGAAGTGCCACAGTGGGCACTTCCGGTTTTGCTTTTCCCGCGTCAACTGGCATGCCAGTTAATGGAGCATGCCAGTTTCTAAGGTGCTGGATAACATGGCTTTTACTATATACCAGTTGTAATCAGCTTTTGTTGACTTTTTCCAAATACAAAAATTCACAAATAATTTCTATATCCAAAAATTACAGCTAACGCATGAAAAAAAGAAACTACAGTTCTGCAAACAGTGGGGAGCATAAATGGTGAAAAGCAACACATCTTACATATAAATATATAAAATAAACAAAGGAAAGAAAACTACCAATAGCGCACATATACATGAATTACAATGATGTGTCGCTTTTCACCATTTATGCTCCCCACTCTTTGCAGAACTCCGGTTTCTTTTTTTCATGCACTAGCTGTAACGTACGCACACGTATATAGAGCACTTGGAGTTCTAGCTATGTATGCATGCATGATACACATACACTCTTGCAATGCTAGAACTCAAGTGCTATCAAGGAAAAAAGGTTTAGCACGTATCCTTTAGCATTCATTGTTTCAAGAGTCAGTTATTCAAGGCAAGTGTTAGGCTTAAAAGGAAATTCTTTAGAAACTCTAAGACTACCAGCAACACTGCACCTTGTAATATAAAAAGTTGAATCTGTATAATGATGTCAATGGGAATATAATTCAGGACCTGATGTATTAGGGCACTGTAGTCTTTTCCAACCCACTCTTGCTGCCATTAGTGGGAGGAAAGATTCTGATGGATTGACTGACTGGTTCTTGACTGCCAGCTTGTAAATTCTGAAGGGGGATTTTTTCCCATATGGCAAAGTTATCAAACTCCTGTGTGGGCTTTTTTATCTTCCATCTGGCACTGCAGAGGTTTGGGGGCTTAAAATGCATTTATTGAAACGTTGGCATTCCACGTAGGTAGTTCCTGTCAAGTATTATAGGGAGGAGAGCTTCCCATTGTTTACTCATGTTAATAGCACTGCAGCTTCCCCATTTATCATGGTAATTCATATATTACATTGAAGTGAATGCAGAAATAGTACATGGCTCTATGCAGTTTGCACTAAAGGACAAAACAGACCTATATTCCTTGTGGTTGAAGAACAGATAAAGATGCTTAAGAGACTGCCCTAAGTACAAGACACAGTAGTACGGTTTTAAATAAAATAAGACCTTCTTCAGCATTTCATACCCAAGGCTTGTCTAACAACTCTCCCAACCATAAAAAGATATTACCAAGCAAACCCTGCTTCTTGCCTATTCCCTGGACCATCATGGTTTCACCACCACTACAACACTATTACCAACAACATTAATTTGGCTTTATGGTATGTTCCAAAACTACTTTTGATATATGTCACTGAAAATAATGTTAATATTCTAAAGTGACAGGTTTCTGAAACTACAAACAACTTGTGTAAGTAATCAAATAGTAAACCAGACATTTATTTTCAAAATGTAGCACTGGCTTAATTCTAACATTCATCTAATTTTTGTCATTTGAGGTCAGTGGAAGTAGCGTGCCAACATTGAGCACTTTTGAAAAAACACACTAAGTTTTTTAAATTAACAATTATCTTTAAAATGTTCAAACCAAGAAATTTACCTGGATGCTTAGCATCTAGGTACTTTAGATAGAAGGTTTTCTGAAGATCCCTGAATCAGAGGAGTATGTTAGCAACCATGCATCAGATAGTTTGATCAACTTGAAATGTATACTTACTAGCCTTCAATTAACCATGTGCATTTAGTTTTATATTTATAGTTTATTGGACCATCTGTTAAGTATCCAGAGGGTTCTGTCAACCTAAAATAGGGAAAAAAAAGTATTGTAACTAATTGTAAACAGTTCTTCAAGTATAGCAGCATATCGATAAGCATACAGATTCTTTCTTGATTAATTCAAAATATGTCCATCTAAAACTTAAAATTGTGGAAGCTACAGGTTAAAATGAACAGATTCCTTTACAAATTAAAAGAAAGAGTAAAACTAGGTCTGCAAAAATCTCAAGCTGATGGAGAAAATGGGGAAGCCAACTCAATTTTCCCCCACCAGCAGTCTAAGTGCACAAGAATCCAAATTATAATCACCCTAAAAAACCACCTGTGAAGTTGTTTCTGTATGTACATGTATAAAAAGCCTAGGCTGCCATTTTTACCATTTTTAATAGTTAAACTTGAACTTGAGAATCGCACTTTACTACTACTCTGTCACCTCATCACTGGAAATGTCTCATTCCAGATTTCAAGACAGAAACTACTGGAACTAAAAGTAGAGACTAGAGCTCAGGAAACAGCAACATTATTATATGAAAGGGAGGCAGGTCCTGCTAAGGTCTCAGTGGAGGCTCTGAACTTCAAAATTCACTTCCCAACCTGCCCACTCTGATATAGGCTGCTTTTGTTAGCCTTTCAGACACTGCAAAAACCATTGGTTTTGTTGGCAAGCGCTGGTGATGGGGCCTTTCCATTTATTTTTTTGGCAGCCTCTTGTCATTAAAAAGAAATCAACAGTGCCATGAAAACTTACTTTGAGATACTGTCAAATGCATTTAAAAAGCTACTAAGAGGTATTCTATCTTTCTTCCTATATACAGAGAGAGAGAGAGAGAGAGAGAGAGAGAGGGAGAGAGCGTGCGCGCGCGCAAGAGAACAAGCACTGAAAATACAAGGTGTCAGACTGGGGAAAAATATACATTTTATTCAGCTGACATGAGTAAGAATTCCCTTTAGTCAACTAAGGGACCATAGGTAACTGACAGCAGTAATTACCAAAACTAGCTTCTTTGCAGAGTGAATGCACAAGCTATGACCTTGACTCCCCATGTTATTTGTTAGCATAAAATGCATTCAAAGACAAAGCAAGAGGTTTTCAGACACTCAGTTCAAATAACCACCCTCAGTCTGAAAAATAATAAAAGATTCTAGAGCTGCTAGAAACAACCATTTTTGTGGAAAGGCAACAACTATAACCAGCAAAGTGCCCAGTGAAGCAGAAACAGTTTTATTATCAGAACTGGTTAATTTTTAAATTATGGGCAAAACAATGGGCAATATATAAAGAGTTAAATACATATGCAGTGTTATACATTTAACTTATTTTTATTTTTAAGCCTGATTAACATTTACACATTTTTTAATATTTAATTCAATTGCACCGAATAGCCTTCATTTGAGAATAGTGGTTGAGAAAATTAAATCCCTAATTTTGCAATGTGGCTTGGCCAGTCTTATAATCACAGGACTAACACCTATTAAGTCACAAAATTTTTAGAGTAGATCCAAACTTGCTATAAAATGAAGCCAAATAGACTTCTGCCATTAATTCCATGGGAACCAGTATAGAATCAAGGAATATTGCCGCCAAACTTTCTGGGCACCTATACACATGCTAAGAGGCTGCTCCAACACATTGTAGTTAAAATGCATTGGAGTAGACTCGATTAATCGAGTCTGCTGGAGCATGGTAATTACCGCACTCCAGCAGACTCCAGCATCACATGCATCAGCGTCCCACACTGAAAAATGGTGGCAGGGGCATTTTAACTAAAGCTGGTTCAACAAGCTTTAGTTAAAGTGCCCCTGCCACCATTTTTCAGTATGGGAATGCGGATACACATGACACTCTGAGCACTTTAATTAGAGCATCTCTCAGAACCACTCTAATTAAAGCGCCACCCCCAACACACATCTCCCAGAGCACGCCTATAAACACCCTTTGATTATACAAAACCTTATGAATTCCTAAGTATATTCATTGACCAAATAAGGCACCAATAGCAGATCTTGTCTGAACAGTCCTTGGTCTGGCTAGTACTCAAATCTAGGAATCTCAGGTGTCATATCTTTTCCAGGGCGTATATGAGAGGGATGATAGACATGCCAGTTCATATATTCTTCCCTCTGAGGCATCTATAACCTGCTACTGTCAGAAACAGGATACTGGGCTAGGGGAACCACTGGGTCTAACCCAGCATGGCATTTCTTATGTTCTCCTGTTTTGTTGCCTTTGTCAACAGACGCACACAAATCTGTCGTGTAACATGGAACATAATTGTTATCATTTTAAAAAGCTACCATTCTTGGTATTTCCTCTGCAACTAATAGCTGCTTTTTTTCTGGTGGGGAAGGGTAGAGGGTGGGGAGCACATGAAAGACAATGATTTCAATCTACTGACTGGCAAGCCTAGAGAGGACATTATAGTAGGTTTTGGCCAGCTAACAAAAGTGCATTTGGGAGACAATGCATTTAAAAGCAACTCTAAGTATACTGAATTCAAATTTGGTCAAAAACTTGGGTTTCAAAAGTACTACTCAAAGGAAAAGCTAGAACAGAAATTCCTTGTTTTAAATTCTGAAAGGATAAATAGATTTTAAAGTAAAGTCAATCTCCAAGATGAATTAATGTTTCTTTGAAATAACTGATGTCCAAATGTTACATCACTGTGTCAAGATAATTGATCCTGAAAATTATAAGTTACTAAGAAAAAAATAATTGAAACTATATCATTTTCTATGTCCAGTTTGAGCATATTGTAAAAGGTAAATAAGCAGCAGATGTAGTGGAAATAAATGAGGTTATAAACGCTTATAAACACTTAAATATTTAAAAAAAATAAGCCAGTTTTACCAATAAGAAAGTACATATTCAAATGTATTTGTTTTCAAAATGACAGTTTCTCCTTAATCAAGCATAAACTGCACACAGCATATACAATATTGATAAATACAATGACAAAACTCCTAAAGAGTTCAAGAGTTTTTTGGGAGGGGGGTTGTTTTGGTAAATGTTTCATTTTGGGTTGGGGGGGGTGTTTTTGGTGTTATTTTTAGTTAAAAAAAAAAAAAAAAAAAAAAGTTTCACAAACAGAATGTTTAAACAAAAGGAAAATTAAAAACTTCACCACTGAAGGAGTACAACATTTAAATATTTCTGCATGCTGTTCATAACATCCTATAAAACTTTTGAGAAGGAATGTAACACTCTTAAATCTAGAAATTGCATGAATACAGAAAAGTGATGTGGACACATGAAATGGGCACCTCTATTGTGTGCCTTCCCCCACCCCCTATGAAAAATAAAGAAATATGGCCAGTTTTGTGCAGAGTACGTGTTTTTTTGTATTTTGCAGCTGATCTTTGATCCTGCAGTCAGACTCAATTAACCATGTATTTGATCTGAATGAGTACCCTTCAAGTCTAAAACAGGTTAAATATTTCCAAATTAAACCAAAGTTGTAATTTGACATTGTACCAGCTAGAATCAATCTACATTAACAACAAAACTGTTTGAGTAGGTTTGCTTATTTTGTTTGAGGGACTGGGGGGGGGGGGGGGTTTTGGGTTTTTTTTTTTTTTTGAGGGGGAGGGGGGGGGGGGGGTGTCTTGCGTTTGCTTATTTTTCCATCCCACCCAAAAAAGCCACAATACATAGATTAAAAAGATGAATATCTTGGATAAAAACTAAATATATCTTTCATTAACAATTTTTAACAGAATGGTTGTTTATGCTAACTCCAATTTATTTATAATAAACCAAAACATACACTTCCTTGAATGTTCAATGTGTTTAAACACAGTAAAAAGAAGTTATTGGTTTTGGTTGCTTTACCCACAGAATTCAGTTACCGATTCAATTATGCAGGTCATTCGTTCAGTTATTTGGAGAGCGGTCTTCTTGAAAGGAATGTGTAATTTAACAGCCTAATGCTATAGCACTGATTTGAAACTGAGCCAGGACGGGTGGGCCCTTGTTCCCAAGCAGAGCCTTACTGAAACTTATGTCTGTCTCCACTTTCAAACCAGTGGGAAACTTGCACCCGCATGAACCTGACTGCAGAATCAGGACCTACATTTGGATATGTGCTTGTTGACCACCATTAAAACTGGTAACTATGTGGGAATAAATATTATATTAAGATACAATTTAAAAAACAACCCCCCCACCAAATACTACTGTTATATAATACATTTGTTGATGTTCTGTTTACTTATACAGAAAACTGCAATAACTTTATTTTATTGTACACAATGTAAAAAGTCATCAGCATTCATTTACACTCAAGGCCAACCTCTCCCTCTTAGCTTTAATAATGCAAGGAAAGTGACTTGCAAGAGTTGTTTCAATTACAGCCAGCCCTCTGGCACTGGTAAATTGCAAACAATTTCCCTTTCACCCAGGCTGATGATTTGTTGATAAACACTTTCCTTGGGAAGATTAGATAACCTTTGATGAAGCCATTTCTCTTCGCTATAAAAAATAAACAACCTGTCATTGCTTTGAAATAATGAGTGTAGAAAATGGAAAGATGAAGAAATTGTTCTATAACATACTGTTTGACCATGCTGTAGTATTTTTTTTTCTTCACATTATACAGAAACTTCCTTGCACCTTTCAAATATTATGAAGCCCCACAGAGCAGACTTTTTATTACAGCTTTCTAAATGATACACATAGCATGGCAGCAGAGGATTACCTAATGTCATTTTGATCTGCAAGTCAGCACTTGCATATATAGCCTAACCTTTTCTAAGCAAGCAGGAATATATTAAAAACCTATGCTATAAAGAATTGAGAAAGTTTCCAAAATGGTCCCCTTCTATGTCTGTCAGTTAAACTGATCCACTAACTTGTGGCGAGAAGGCAAAATGTTGTATAACTCATCTAAAGACCAACTTAGAAATAATCATTAATAGATGTGTCAGCCACAGAGCGAATCGATAATTATAAGACACACATGATACCTGATACTAGAAGGCTTTTTTAATGTGGCAGACAAATCTAGAAGCTGAATGCCGGCAAATTAAAACTGAACACAAGAAGCAAACTTTCAGAAAGAAGATAAGTTACTCTCTGAACAAAGTGAGTATAAGGTGCCATACTGCCCTGCCTTCTATATTATACAGGAGGTAAGACTAGATTATTAAAATGATCCCTTCTGGCCCTAACATTTAACAGTTTGTGAAGATGGTTGTATCAACCCATTCCCTGAGTTTTTCTGTGGAAGAGGATGATATGGCTGAGTTTTCCAGAAGTCTATATTGTATCATACCACTGCAAGAATGGTGGGGAGGTCCTAAAGGAACAGGGTACAAAAAGCAATAGAGAAGCATGGAGAAGAGCAATGAAATCTTCCAGGATAATAGCACTTTAGATGTACTAGTGGGCGGTGCCTCTCCACCCGATGTACGAAATGAAAGTGGATCCTCCCACAATGTATTTCTGTGATAAGCAAGATGTCTTACATTTTCACAAAGAGCCTGTCCATGAAGGTGCAGCCATAGGTTTGAAGTAAAAATTACTTTCTAAAGAAATTAATGCATCATCTCTTCTAATACTCAGCTTTCTACTGTAGTCTATTTAACCATGCTGGCCATTTAGAACAGCTCTGAACTTCTGTCAAGAACAATTGCTGTTCTGTTCTGAATTAATTTATGGTTGCAGATGTAGTATCTATGCTTTGTGCATTGATCTAATTGGGATCTTATGTGGATCTTATTATGTATGCCAATGTTTGGTCTCTGCATGCTCTCTCAGTAGCAGTCCCTTTCCAGCCTGTTTAAGAGTGTTAAGTTTTTGCTAAATTAATTAGAAACTGAAAACGGTCTGCGAATCAGTCTTGACCACTTACAGGAAAGGAACTGCCCTTTTCATGGGACAAATAAAGCAATAGCCACATTCCAGTCTGGGGAAGCCATTCCTAATCTGTCACTCCGCTCAAAGACAAGAATTCTCACATTTCAGATGATAAATGAAAGTCAAGGAACACCAAAATCCAGTGTCACCTCTGCATTTTGAGGCAGACAAGCAGGCAGAGCCTTTTTCAGGGGTGGTCACCGAAGACCAACTCCATGACATGTATCGGAAATTCATGTCAGATCTGGAGGACTGGCGGGGAGAGGGAGGCAGGAAAGACAAATCACCATTAAGTTCCATTACCCACATGAAAAGTGGATTGTAGGGATGCTGAAAAAAAATATTCCAAATATCTGCAGATCAGATGCACATCATCATTCATAAAAACCTATGAAGAAAGAAAAAGGAAAACCTACATTTACTGGCAAATTCTTATTAAAATAACAGTGTATGACCTTGATATGCATCACTAGAGCAGTCATCTCTACTTTCATATTGTAATTTGTAGCATCTTTAAAAAAAAAAAATAAATAAAAATAAAAAAAGTGTATTTACCTTCCCCATATACATTAGACAAATGGTCTGTGAAAAGTCAATTGCTGTGTAAACCTAAAGATAAATGTTTTTCTACTCCAGACAAATGCATCTTTGATACTATCAACATTTTTTTAATGTCAGGTATAAAACTGTGCTTTTACCGGTCAGAAATTAAAACCACATACAAAAGTTTCCCTGTGTAATCAATCTGCTATGCGATATCCTGATTAATACATTTATCTTGACATGTATATAAAGCACCCATTCAAGATCTTTAGGCATTTCCACAATATTGCAAACATCCATTGTTAAATAAAATCAAAAGAGTTTGGGTGAACGTAATTTAGCTCTACCTTACTCATTTCTCATTCGTGAATTACTTCCTATACATTCTACATTGCTCACTGTCATGTTCCTGC